AAATAGAAAAAACCTTCAATTTCCGCCCAAAAATATTGCGATTTGGCCTAAAACTGTCAATGCGCATGCGCGGGTTTCACTAGGATACAAATCCGAAAATCCTCGTGCATTCAAAGGCAAAAGAAAAGAGCATCTTCCTGTTTTTTGGCTTTCGAACAAATCTGCGTGGGTAACACAAAAAATATTTTTGGATTGGTTCACTACATGTTTGTACCGTCAACAAAAGAATTTTCATTGAAACAAAATCTTTCTTTCAAAATTTTGCTTATTATGGATTATGCCAAATGTCATCCTACTTCACTGCAATCATTACATCCGAATGTAGAAATCATGTTTCTCTCACCAAATACTACATCTATTATCCAACCTATGGATCAGACAGTGATAGCATTATTCAAGGCTTATTACCTCCGGCGAGTAATGTAAAAAATGCTTCAGGCCGTTTCTGTGAACTATTCTGATAGTGATATTCTCCCTGCGTAACGTTTGAAGAAATTTTGAAGTAAATTTTCAATTTTAAATTCTATTTCGCTCGTCGAAGAATCTTAGAGCGAAGTTAAATTTAACATTTTACATTCATGTTGGCACAAATCACTCCCTGATCTGATTGAAACATCTACCACTGGTACTTCCAACGGCGATCGAAAATTACAAACAGTAATTCAAGGGACTGTAGAAGTCGCAAGAGAATTTGGTGAAAAAGGTTTCACTGAAGCCGACACTGACGACTTTCCGGAGCTGATACAGCCTGTTGATGAACTCAATACCATAATGTCGCGTAGTCTTCAATTTAAAAATAGTTGTGAAATAGCATTAAATTCTTATAAAGAGTTGCACACAGACATGGTTTGGCGAATAAAACAATCCCGCATTACGGAATATTTTGAAAAAATCCAATAAAATAAATATTTTTAATTATTTAATATTTTTGTTATTCGACATTATTATTACAAGTATTTATATTATTATTCAATTATTCGCGGATTCCGTATTTGCGGTGTTTTTTAGGAACCTAACTACCGCGAATACGGAGGGCCACCTGTAGTAATTTTAAACGTTACAATTTTTACTTATTAGTTTCAAATTCCAATCAAGCCCGCATGTGATCGAATTGACCGCAGCAAGTGATTTTCGTGACAAAAGTGTATACTCACCTCAATGTAGCAGAAAGCCTTAACACATCATCATAAATGTACTGAAATGACTGAATTTGGTTTATATACACCATATCCATTTGCTAGTAATTTTACATTTTTTTACATTTTATTACATTTTACAATTTAATATGATGGCTTTAGTTACTACTTTTAATTTTCCTTAAACGATGTTTTTTCCGTTCGGGAATAGAAATTTATTATTATAATTTATTATTAAAAATGTATCGACGAATCATCGAATATAGTATCAATGTCGTATCGATTTCGTTACGATACGATATACGAGTTGTCAATTCGATACCATACCGATATTGGGGTGAATTATCGATATCGTATCTTATCGTGAAGACCTATCTCATTCGTACAATCGACGAAACGGAACAGATCCTCGTCGTCCATGTGCTCGGCGATTATGCGACAAGCCGTGTTCGGCAAACCGATGCTGCAGTGCTCGGAACAGAACAGATCGGTCGCGTACAGCTCCAGATGCGACCTCTGTAATGCCGGAACTGGCATTATCTGTTGGGCCGCCCTGACGAACCATCGTTTACTTGCCGAGTGTATAGTTAGTTATAAGAATCGTTATTAATAATTGTATTTTGAATATGATTTCATGTGAGCGCCAAGTGTAAAAGAATAGAACGTAAACACGCGTATACGTTGAGATACGAGAGCGTACATGTGAACAGAAGAAGGGAGTCGAAGATTTGCCTCGAGAGCGAACGGAGCTCGAGTGTTAGAGCTGAGCGCGACATCCTGGGGGATGTCTAGGTCGGATTGACGAGTACCGCTCGGCGAGTAAGATCCTACGTCGCCCGAGTAAAGAGTGCGAGTGCCGGTTCGAGTCGATCCGAGTGCGCGAGAGAGAACCAGCGGATCCAACGGCCGAGCAGACCACAAGGACGACCAAGGCTGGATCTGGACCAGGAGAAGATCTCGACATCGTGTGGTGAGTCGGGCGGCCCAGATCTTAGTCGTTGTATTTGTGAGTCGTACGCGCCGACTCGCCCATCAGGGCTACGATCGTCGCGTCTGCCGTCGACCGGGTATCCGGGTACTCACTGAAACCGTGTATACTATTTATTTAATACGAATAAACCTGGTAGTTGTTATTGTTATATGGAGTGTTTGATTCTTGATGGATGTGTGAGCGTAAAGAGCTTTCCTTTCCCGTATTGCATGAATCTTACAGGTAGACCCCGGACGTGCAGAACGGATCCACAGAGCCAAGGGACACACGTAACCGACGAGGTGCGTCGGGCTGAGATAATAGGTTACACCTCGCAGCGCGATGTTCGCGACGTGTCTCATCACCAGCAGCCGCGTGTAATGAAACGAGTGCAACATCGGCTGATGCCAGTACTCGGTCTTGCTCCTCGTGATCTTGTGGGCCTCCTTGCAGCTCATTCGGCAGGCTCGATGCCAGCGACACGGTTTTCGCCTCGTCGAGAAAGATTCGCTTCAGTGAGGCGATTTCGTGCTTCCACGACTCCAAGTGATGGGACTCGAGCCGTGAACGGTTTTCCGTGGCCACGGACACTTCCTTTTTCAAGCGTCCCCATCTCGACTCGAAGTATCGGCGGGTCGCCGCCGTCAAGTCGAAGTCCGTCGCTCCGGGAGCGAATAAGTCGCGCCGAACATCTTCGAGATTCCGCGTGTGGTGTTTTTGTAATCGGAGAAAAAAAAAGAACCAAATCAATAACGAGTTTCATAATTAAAAAATGGAGTAATAGCTCGACTTACCGATATCCACCCAACACTTGAGAATTTTGTATCTCGCGCTCAAGTCCAACTCGAAGCCGTGTTCGCCATTAATTGTAGTATCGTCGCCTGGATCTGCGCGTTCCAAGGATACTCATCGAGTTTTCCCCCGTGCGCGCCATTGTGATATCCAAGCGGAAGGCCCTGCTCTCGTACAGAGGCTCGAGGCTCGCGCCGCGCCTCGGCAGCGACGCCACGAGAGCTCGCGATCGAACAACGACGCGGCAAAGCCGAGTGGGGTGAGGTGCTCGCAGTCGCGCGACGCCGACGCGTAGCCCAGGTGAGCGGCGATGCGCAGAGGCGTCCAGCCACGGGTCTTCGCGTCGACGTCCGCGCCCTGCTCGAGGTATCCGAGCACCGTGGCCAGATCGCCGGCCACGCGGGCCGCGTGCAGATACGAGTAGCCCCCGGCGTCCCGATGATTCTCCCGGGACGTGGCGAAGAAGTAGTCGAAGATCTCCAGGTTCGATTGGCTCACGCGGCCGCGTCGTATAGCTCGCGCAGGGCGCAGTCCGCCAGCTCGCGAATCGCCGAGCGAGTTCCGTGCGCGAACCAATCGTCTCGTGAACGTCCAGACCCAGCTGCTCGTGCAGAAACCTGATCACTGCCAAGCATCGAGCGCGCGTATCGCGTAATACAGGAAATATCTGAGCGCGGGGAAATAGCCATTGATCCAGCATCGCGTTCTCCAAGACTATCCTTATAGCTGTGTGGCATTTTCATTCGGAGCCGTCAAAACTTTATTCGCCCAGAAGGCGAATTTTTTATATCTGTTGTTGTTGGCACTAGACACTTTATATAGAAGCTCTTTTACAATACGCGTGTTAGCGGCTTCATCGAGCGAGAGGCCCCTTTCTATTACTATTATTAGCAAAGCAGAGAAAGAAGGATCGTCTTCGCGCAAAGCCATCTTCGTCGATGCGATAACGACCAAGTTTTAATTTTAAAATTACAAAATTACATCGAGAACACGTGTAGGTGAAATTGAAACTGCACACACACACGCACGCTTCAGAGAAACAGAGAGAAATTACGACGTGAATGGCTTTACGAAGACATGCGGAACTACTATATAGTGAACGCGTCGTTCGATCGCTCATTGGAAAGTATATCAAAATTCCACCTACAGTACTTTAAACTGTAAGTTATTATTCCACAATTTTATGTATTATTGGCCACGGTGCAAGTCTCTTTTATAAAAAAAATTTGAATCAAAGATTTTTTTCAAGATTCTAAATCGTGTTTTTTCGGAGTAAATTGTTTATACCTTTCTTAGTATTTATCAGAGGTTAATTATAAACCCATATTTACAAAGTATATTAAATTTTACATATAAAATGAATACTCCGGAATTTTTTTCGCTCCGATAAGATGATTTAATTGCAGACTACTATAGAAAAAAAAATTCTATCCGTCTGGGCGTTAACGGGTTAAAGAATAATCTCAAAATCCACGTTGATCCTATACCCGAAGAAATCACTCATGCTTATGATATATTCGAAAAAACATTCACCCAAAACCATGTCGATATGGTGCATCGTGAAATGGCAACAATTTATCCCTTATCTCCGGCGATAAAAATTGCAATTTTGATGGAGCATCATGTATATTATTCGTATCATACTTTTGCCGATTTTATAAACAAACATTAGGCATTTTTCCACGAGTTTACAATTAAGGTTACAGCATTGTAATGTTTGTAACGCAAATATTTTGTGGTCACTATGCAGTTTCAATAAAAGTCTTCGTTTTGTATAAAAAATTTATGAAAGCACTTATCACTTCTTATTAGATTTTGTTACCAAGTATTACATACTTAGATCCGTCGAATTTCGTACGCTAAAAAAATCGACCGATAACTGCTGCTCGAGACGTCACCTATCGCCTGAAACTCGAATCAAGTCCATGACGTGTCGTCTCGCGCCGGCTCGGTCGGAGTCGGACTGCCGACTGGGAGTGACGAGCCAGCTAGCAGACAACAACATAACCTGCGCCGAGATTTGCCAGGCCGCAACTAGTGTGTACACATACTGCTGTCATCGCCGCTTGTCGAAATTGTTTTCCTTTTTTTTTTAATTTTTAATCGATCGCGAATCTGCTGGGCAAAATGGCCAATGAGACTTTTGTGCCTCCAAAGGCTCCCAAAGATCTCTGCTTCAACGAGATAAATTTTGTACAGGTGCAGCAATTATACTTAGATATTTAGTAAACAATACTCCATTATCTCTCGTTGACAGACTTGATCATGGATGTTTTACCATTTTACAGACGGTTTTTGATACCGATAAATTTCTCCAAGAGCACAAAGCCAACGTCAGTCTCGAAAAATTGCGGGACGATCTTGGGATTTATTTAAAAATTCTACGATCAGCGATGATAGAACTAATTAACCGAGATTATACTGACTTTGTGAGTTTATCTAGTAATTTGATTGGTTTGGATCAAGCGATAAATAATTTAGCCACTCCGCTTGGTCAACTGAAAGAAGAAGTCAAGGTAAAGTTTTGAAGTAAACAGTGAAAGTTTTTATTTTTATTTATTTCTTTTACTTTGTCAACAGCAAGTTAAACAATGTTTGGATGATACAATAACAGATATGACCAATAACTTAGATAAATACCAGAACATCAGAGACAAAAGACAAAGCATTCATAGTCTTATAAGATTCCACAAGTCAATTACTAAATTGGCAGATATTCTTAGTTCCTGTGATAAAAATATAAATACGTCAAAGCCAGATGTTTTAGAACGAGCTGCTATGCAATTTAACCAACTCAAGTTTCACTTTAGCCGGTGTCAGGGCGATCTATCTAGTGACTATATAAGTGTAAGAAAATAACTTAAAATTTATTTTTAAATTAATTAACAAAAATGAAATCAATGATTTATCTTCTAGAAAATGAGTGACTTGGACGAGCAGCTCAAGCATAGTTTAAGTTTGTTACTAGTTTCCTATGTTAAGCACAAAGATATTCTATTGTTAGAGAGATGTTTGAGAATTTACATTAGTCTTGATAAAGTTAAAGATGCAGAAGAAGTAGTAAGAAAAAAAATTGTTGTTCCAGCAGTAGAAAACATAATCAGTGATCATACTTTTCAAAATGATCCTGCAGGTTTAAAAGGAATTTATGTGAAATTGGAAAATGTTTTAGATAGTGCACTCAAAGAACTTTTAGATCTTACATTGAATTCACAAAGGTAAAATTAAAAGTTTTTTAAATAAATTGTGAATAGTGCAGCAGTGCCTATAATTACTAAATTAATTTCAGTCGTACAGTTAAAGGCTACAACTTTTTAATAAATAGTTATTGGCCTGAAATTGAACAAAGGATAGAAGACTATATACCCATGGTATTTGCTCCTGGAAACCCAGAATTATTTCATAAGGTAATAACTATTCGTGTTAGCAAAACTATTCTGATGACCTTAATAAATGATCTGTTTTATAATGCACTCTTCAGCGTTATCGAGAAACTCTGAACTTTCTCCTTAAACTCGAGCAAAGATGTCATAATGAAGATGTAATTGTACAATTCAAAAGCCATTTCCAATATACAAGATTCCTGAGCAAATGGAATTTGCCAGTGTACTTTCAAATAAGATTTCAAGAGATTGCAGGTACAGCTGAAAGTGTTTTTTCAGCTGCTATATCTACATCTTCCATTAGACAAAAGAAAGATTCCATTAATAATGAAGAATTTATACTTCATGCAACAAATATTGTGTGGGATTGTTTATTAAGAATATGGACTGATGACGTATTCCTACCTCAATTACTTGCAAGGTAATAGACCTTACTGCTTGGAATGTATGCTCATCAGAAAAACTTTTTAATTACTTTTTTGTATACTTTTAGATTTTGGAAATTGTGCCTTCAGTTGTGTTCTAGATATCAAGAGTGGTGTAAATTTGCTTTAAAACATGTATGTATTCTTAAGCAAACAGTTTTCAAAGAAAAACAAAATATTCATGAATTATTTGATTTTAGACATGGCCAGCCGTACAAGTAAATGAAACTAATCAAAATCAAGGACAAAGTTTACACAGGCTGGATTTCCTAGTAGGGCTTTATACAGATGTCGAGAAACTCGCAAAAAAAATTCCCGATATTTTAACCATTGCATCTGCTAAAGTAGTCAACTTATCATCAGTAATAATGGACTCGTTGAATGGTACGTTGAATTATTTTCAAGATTTATTCCATAAAATTCAGTTGAATTAACCTTTTCAAACAACACACCATTATAGACACCATAAACGAGTCATCGCAATGTCTCAAATCGCTGCTACCGCAAATAACGGAGGAGCTGGTCGGCGAACTGCTGCGACACAGTGGCACGCATCTGCGACAAATCAGCGATATCCCGAGATTGTTCAGGCGTACGAATCGCGAAGTGCCGACGAAGCCCTGCGCCTATGTACGTCGGACCTTGGAGTTTCTCGAGCGTTTTAGCGCGGATTATCGGTCCGCCGTACCCGAGACCTCGAGTCATTGGCTCTCTCTGGCCGCGTCTGGCCTAACTCAGCAGTAAGATTCGATCGTTTTTTTTTTTTTTACTTATTATTTTCTCTACTTTCGATCGATGGATCAAACGAGTGCTTAAATTATCTCTTACTTCACCAGGTACATATCGTCCGTCACCGACGTACTGACGTCCGTGCAAAAAACGGAGGAGAGTCTGCGTAGATTGAAAAAAATACGAGACAAATCCGCCGGCATTTCAACCACCGAGAGTCAGGGTACGAGTGACGACGAAAAAATCCGCATACAGCTTCTGATCGACGTTCAGAGCTACATCGAAATCGTACGTCAAATCACACATCATTATTTACCCTGAAAACAATTTAACTCAATACAAAAATCTACTCTTTACAGATCAAAGAACTGGGCCTGACCGAAGCAGAGGTGGGAAATTTGAATCAACTTCTGCAAATAGTGGAAACCGCTGCGAAAAGCAAAGCCGAAGCGAAATAACGACGTTACCATTAACGATCTTGCGTAAGGTAATTTTTTTTTTTTTTTTTTTCATTAAAAAAATCTACTTGGCTCTCGAAAATTGAAAAAGAGGAAAAAAAACAACAAAAAATTAGGCGCACGCTAATTCGTCGCACGCCACCTTTTTAATTGAATTACGCCCCGCACCAAGTGTATTTGCAAACATGATGCAACGCCCGCTCGCGCTGAACTCGGCATATAAACAGCGAAATTAGCGAGCTGTTGACGACGACGCGTGATCCGAGAAAAAAAAAAGGGAGGGAGGGGACAGGAGGCTCGTCGTTTGACATGAAAATTAAACCAGCGGCTTTTAAAACCATTAACTCCGAGCAACAAAACCAGCGCCTGGAGTAATCGGCTTTGCTAAAAATAACATCGAAAAAAAAAAATAAACAAATTATCCATTCGCGTTAATAATCTGCTCTTGATATAGTTCTCGATATTTTTTTCGTGACGACACTACTTGCGAGATATTTTCGATTAATATTTTTGTTGTCTTTTTCTACTTTCAGATTCCGCAGGCCCCGGAGCTACGACGGGCATGAAGATATGTTACAATAAACGTGCAGACTGCATCGACAATTTTCGGCAGAGCCGCAGCTTCGAAAGCTCGAAAAACGAGACGACACACGACCGACTCCTTCGGAAACCCTAGCACTCGTAGAATTTCGCGCGCGATGTAAAAGCTACGTACGTACGTACGTCTGGATGACGCTACGTGGTATATATCTCTCTACTGTGCCGCTATACACACTACATCCGCTGCTTGATCCGCCGAAACAGGATTAAAAAAAGAAAAAAAAAAGAAGAAGAAGAAACCTCAGCAAGTCGAGAGCTTCCGCGGCTCGGTATATAAAACGGCCTCGCGGCTCACGCGCGCAACGCAGTCGACCGAGAATCGTCGTCGCGCGCACGTTTCTATATACATTATTTATATAATTGTTGTAATATATATAATAAATATAACGACGTCATCATGGTGGTGAATTTCAAGGTGTTTAAAAAGTGCTCGCCCAACGGCAAGCTGGCCATCTACCTGGGCAAGCGCGACTTCATCGACTATCTGTCGGGGGTCGAGCCGATCGACGGCGTCGTCCTCCTCGATCAGGGCTACGTCGACACCCAGCGACGCGTCTGGATCCAGCTCGTCTGCAGCTTTCGCTACGGCCGCGAGGAGGACGAGGTGATGGGCCTGAACTTCCAGAAGGAGCTCTACCTCGCCTCGGAGCAGCTGTTCCCCCCGCCTGCGCGCAAGACCGAGCGCAACTTCACCAAGCTGCAGGAGCGCCTGATACGCAAGCTCGGCCCGAACGCGGTGCCGTTCACCTTCGAGTTCCCGGCGACGTCGCCGTCGAGCGTCACCCTGCAGCCGGGCCCGGACGAGCACGGCGAGCCCTGCGGCGTCACCTACACGATCAAGGTGTTCGCGGGAGAGAGCGAGACCGACGTCGGCCACAAGCGCAGCAGCGTCGCCATGGGCATACGCAAGATCCAGTACGCGCCGACCAAGCAGGGCCGCCAGCCGTGCACCGTGGTGCGCAAGGACTTCCTGCTGAGTCCGGGCGAGCTCGAGCTCGAGGTCACCCTCGACAAGCAGCTCTATCATCACGGCGAGCGCATCGCCGTCAGCGTGGCGGTGCGCAACAGCAGCAACAAGGTCGTGAAGAAGATCAAGGCCCTGGTGCAGCAGGGCATCGACGTCGTCATCTTCCAGAACGGCCAGTTTCGCACGGTCATCGACGCCGTCGAGTCCCAGGACGGCTGCCCCATCAATCCGGGCTCGAATCTCCAGAAGGTGCTCTACCTGCAGCCCCAGATCGAGCCCAACAGGGCGCGACGCGGCATCGCCCTGGACGGCCTGCTCAAGGGCGAGGCGGGGGAGCTGGCCTCGAGCACGCTCCTGACGTCGCCCGACGTGCGCGACACCTTCGGCATCGTCGTCTCGTACGCGGTCAAGGTCAAGCTGTATCTCGGCGCGCTCGGTGGCGAGCTGTCGGCCGAGCTGCCCTTCATACTGATGCGGCCGAAGCCCGCCACGGATCGGCTCAAGGTCGTCAGCACCGACGACAGGCTCCACATCGAGGACGTGCACCAGCAGCAGTACCAGCAGGACGAGAAGAAGGAGAAATATTGAATTGTTTCTAGATAGGCACTTCTTTTGTATTTCGAGTTATGATGCCGCCGCAGCTACTTTCTCGTATTATGCGCGCGTTGTTGTCGTGTCGTTGCTCGCTACGCGGAACATAGCAGCATGTACTTTTTTTTTTTTTTTTAAATCTTTGGCAATTGTGCGCGATGAATTTTTAATCCGGGGTTGCACACGAGAACGTATACATACGGTGCGGCGTAACGCTTTTTTCATCGTGAAATTGAGCAAGCGGTTTGACTTTCGTTGATTATACAGACGATGATCGATCGGTAAAGTCAATTTTGTCCAACTCTCCTGCAATTACTTTCACGCTTTCGTTTTGCATTTTTATCGCTCTAGTTTTCTCTATATATTGTGATAATCGAATTCATGAAAGCTTTTTCTTCCACGACGGGGTAAAAAAATAAAATAAAATAAAATAAAAAACTGGTGAACGGGTAAAGAATTATATTTTAACGAGGAATATATAAGTTAGTTAAGCGTTAATGAATTTTTCGAAGCTTTTTATGCATCTGGGAGAAGGAGTTTGTAAAAAAAAAAGAAAAGTAATAATAATCCAATTTACCGTATTACACGTAAATTGCGTTTGCTTCGTCGTTGCGTCGACGAAGGCAAGTCTCTCGCGTAGGCGCTCTATTGTAATTATATTTTATTTAGATCAATTTTAAATAAAACAAAATCTAGGTTGTATCATATTATAATACTTGTAACGATTATTATTTATTTATTTATTGTAAAAAAAAGAAGAAAAAACACAAGAGACGAAGAGGCAGATTATACACACGACATATTACTGGAATAATATGTGATATTTCAATAAACAATTACAGAGAATTAACTTTTGACTTTATGCATTATTCAACTTTTCAATATCTAAACGCTTTTAATGCTGATTATTTTCCGAGTAAACAAACAAAGAGAGAAAGAGAGAGAGGCACCCACGCGCATCGACACCGCTGTAATCTATTTTAATTAGATTAAAAGGCACACAAAGTTCTCTCTTTCTCTCTCTTGGCTCATAAAATGTGAATTTGTAGAGCAAATTTTCACGAACAATTGCAACGATGAGAGACGCTCCTCGAAAAGTAACCGAAGTAAAAAAAAAAAAAAAAATTAGTATAAAGATATTGTATTTCTCGCGAAAGGCGATTTTGTCTTTATCTCGCTCGAACGATCGCTCGCTGCTCGGTTCGCACATGTGTGTAACACTCGATGCTCTCGGTCTACATAGATAAAGAGACCCCGCCGTGCTCGCGCATCGCCAGAATAAGCCGATGATGATTTGTTGGTGTGCCCTCGCGTATACCAAGAGAGAGAGTAAGTACATTATATACGCGTTGGTATGTGTGTGCGATACATGTATATAAACGCGATGATCGGCAATTGTTTATCGAATTTTTTTGCTCTTCTTTCATTCTTTCTTTCTTTTTTTTTTGCAACAACGCCCAACTAATCTAATCTGTATATAAGACGAGTCGCGTTTATTCTCGCAAGTTCGCATTTTTGTTCGCGTGAATTATTGCAGCAGCAGCAGCAGCGGCAAATTTTTCGATGAATGAAGCGATCGGTATATCGTTTCGCGCAAGACCCACTGTGCAGTATTCCGACTCGACTCGAGGGACCGCGTGTATCGGCAGTTATTTCAAACCTTCGAGTGATCTGCCATTGTTTATTTTCATTTTCTTTTCTTTTTTCTCATCTCCATCTCTCTCTCTCTCTCTCTCTCTCTCTCTCTCTCTCTCTCTCTTACTCGACCATAACAAATCAAAAACGAGTGTGTTACATTTCTATAATTAAAAGGCACAGACACATGGCAGTGTTGTAGGGCCACGTCGTTTGTATATATGCACACGTACGAGTTAAAAATAAAGCCCCCGCACACATATACATTATAAGCACATAGCCAAAAAAAAGTTGAAAAGATTTCGCGCGTATCGTGTAAAAAAGCTCGACTCGAGTTGCGCTCGCGCGCGGAGAAATTTACTCGCGCACGAACGCGAAGAAAGAGACGAAGAAGAAGTAGAAGAAGTTATATGTACGTGCAACAACGAAAAAAATGTGATATATCGAAGATAATACACGCACTGCATATACACGAAATCTCACTTTTGCCCGCTATAAGCGAGCGAAGGATTTCACTACTCGCGGTCTGCAACTCGTGCACGCGCGAATGATATCGCGCGCTTCAATTCCAAAGTATACGACGATGTTGATAATAATAATAATAATGATATTTAATAATGGTAATGATAATAATGCAACATTAGCGGGGGGGCATCGGGTAAAAATTTCATTCTATACATTACGCGCGGCAGAGCAAATAAAACGCATATATTTAGCTTTCGCTTTATAAATAGCGCCCGGCGCGTATATAGCCGAGCTCAACGGCAGTCGGAATCTACGCTACTCGGCTATACTACTACTACTACTATCACGCACGGTGAGCGAATCTGTGTGTGTGTGTATGTGTGCGAGCTCTAGGCATAGCTGAAGTTTTCTCCGCGCTTATGTACTCTCGAGAGCATTTTAATGCGTTGAGTAGACCCCGTATGCATTTTTCACGTATGTAAAGTAATCAAAACAAAAAATCCCAATTCTGTTTACGTCAGTGATGCTGAAAAGTTTGTATATAATTGAAACAGAGGGAGAAACGAGAGCGTCGTGAAATCAAAAAAAGCTCATTTTTCCTTCTTCTACGATCCTATAACAACCGGAGCTTTTCTCTCTCTCTCTCTTATGCTCCGAAATTTCGACGCCTGCTCCCATTGTGTAGCTTCTATACGTATCCATCTATACGTGTGTGTGTGTCGGTATTTCGAGAGCCGGCCAACCGTCCCCGTAGACTCTCTGCTCCAATGTGGTAGTACGAGCCTCTCGACTTTTTCTGCTGCCTCGACACTCGAACTGTTTAATACCCGCAAGGCCTGTAGCACAATATATTATATCTATATAGCTGCTGCCACCGCCAGCCAGCGCGAAACGGCTGATAGAGCCCGCAAAATAAGCCGGCGGCGGCGGAGACTCTCGAGAGCGCTGTGGACTCGGGCGCCGCTAGTGCAGCGGCGTACATATCGTATACTTCGCCACTTCAGTCAGGCACGACACGCCGCAGCGAGTGGATCGCGTGTGCCTTTAGCGCGCATTTATATATATATATAAATAAATCTAAAACCTTTACATACTCACTCACATATACGTACGAGTACGCATATAAATATACGCACTTGTCGCAGTTTTTGTGTGCCCTACATATATACAGAAAATATAGCGCGTTGTCTTGGGAAATTTTGCCATCACGCACAAATCTATACGTCGTTCGAGTTAACAACCGGGGGTACATATATCATATACAAATTTTATCGTTATTGTTAAAACACGATCGTGTGCGTGCGACAACTGATTTTTCGAAACTCGTCCACTGGAACCTTGTTGGGTGCCTCATGCAGAACGTATCATTACGCATGTATTTTGTTTTATCTATGACTGTGCGTAATAACGTTTTCTTTTTCTTGACGTTTAACATCATCGTCGTCGATGTCATTAGTCAGTGTTTTGTATATTTGAAGTTGTGAGTGCGGTTATTCGGAGTGATATCTTTCGCAGTTGTGCACACACACGCACGTAAATTTAGGAGTCGTCGTGCATGTGCAGGTGAGGTGTATACGAGGAGGCGCCGGCGCTTTTGAATCGTTGCTCTCTCTGTTGCTGCTGCGTGCCGCCGAGTCGATGCCGTATAGAGAGGCCGGCTGGCTCTAACATGTATACATAACAAGCTCCCTTGTGTGCCTGTGCATTAAAGCTTACCATACTATATCTATACATCCTATTTCGTGCGCGTGTGTAGCTTGCAGATGATACGCAGCGAGACGAGGATAGAGAGACGAGCTTTTTCGAGAGCGACGTTGTAACGTCCAAGTTTCGTTATACGTTCGAGTTTTTGCCGATCGATGAGCTGCTCCGAGAGTTGGCTTTGTACCGGTGTCATGTTTTTTTTCGGAGTTTCGTGCGAAATATAATATTTAAAAAAAAAAGAAAAAAAGAAAAAGTAAATAAGTACCGGCAGCGAAAAAAATCCTGTCGCACTTGCCGTATACTCATCCACTTATTATAAAAACAACACGCTTCGTTGCCTCGATTTAACGAGCCGCGTATTAGTAGTAGTGGTAGTACCAGAAGGTGTCTCGTATATGTATTTTTTTTTTAACAGTCGTACTTGTCGCATGTATGTACACACACACGTATTATATTCGCGCACCGCTAGTATCTTTGCTTCCTCGCAGTAGTAATAGTAGTAGTAGTAGGTAGTGGCGGCGGCGGCGACACAGAGCCTTACAGCCAGCAGTCAGCAACATACCAAGAGTCACGTCATCGCCGAGTCAAGCCAAATACGCGCGCGAATAACTTCCAAAAATAAACTTTCACTCGCGGCGAATTATAATCCAGTTTACGGGTTCTTCTACTATACTATATCCGTCCGTGTGTGTATGTGTGTCTCCTCCTCGTGTACTTCTGCTGCTGCTACTGCTCCGAAGCGCGCGTTCCGCTATTATTTCGCCGTAAATTATGCGTGACTGAGCGTCCGAATACACCTGCCTGAGACCGGAGACGTCGTCGCTATATACTAGCGTTAGTAGTCCTTTGTGTGTGTGTAAGTGTGTAAGTGCGTGTGCACCCCTCGCCGTCACCTCGTACCGCTTCTTCTTCTTGTGGTTGTGTGTGTGTGTGTGCGTAGGAGCGGATTCGAGCTATATACGTTTCCGAGAAGTTAACCGAAAAAAAAAAGATAAAGAAACGAACGCACAGTCATTTATATTATACACGCATGCGGAAGGCACAGTAGCGCGATACACATAACAAGTGGACGAATCGAGGGACGTTCGAAAAAATTCAATTGTCGCCACGCTATCGTATCATATACAGTATATAGAAAAGAAACAGAAAAGTGTTTGATAGGGACACGAGTGCGCGTTTATCCGTTCCTAATTAATAATCGCACCCCTTATTTTGTACTCGTTGTTAAAAACGCAGAGAGCAGAAGGATAATTTGGGAGTTTCTCTCCGTCTGTGTGTTTAAACGTCCGATCTGTGTGTCAGCCCACACCCCAGCAGCAGCAGCAGCCGCCTACTCCGCCGACACCGAGACGACGAAATTTCCAATCAAAGGGTAAGTATACTATGTATGCACCTCGTAACGTGTCGTTTAAAATCTCACGTTTCACACGCAAAAAACGATCGAAGCGATAAGTGTCGTACGTTATTACGTACATGATACACTCGTTAATGGTCAAGAGGGTTGCGAACGATCGACTCGCTTTAATCGCGAAGAAATTCGTATACGTGCGCGTAAAAGACCTCTATATCTCGCGTGTGCAGCTCCTAAAAAAAGTGGGTGGAGTTCGCAGACGGCTCGAGAGTCGAGCGATAACGTACATACCTTTCTGCGCGTGACTTATAACTTATACATATATCGGGTGGATAATCCTCCGGTGCCGGGATCGAGTGCGTTTAAGGTTAGGACACACCGCAGAGTACCGCGGAGTGCGAAATATTCCGCAGATTCTTCAGTTTTTCGAAGTGAATTTATTATAATTATTTTTTTATATCGAAGAAGAGATTATTATCGACGTGATGCGCGTTGTATAGGCATGACGCTATACGCGACTCTTGAGAAACGAGCTCGGCGCAGCAGCAGCGGCAGCAGAGCTTGCGAGAAGAGTTAAAATTCAAGTATGGAATTTTGTATTTGGCTGATAAAAAAAAAGGTAGAGAGTGAGAGCGAGAGAACGAAGAGACGGTTTCGGGGTCTCTCTGGCTCTTTTCTGCTGCCATGTAACACAA